ACAACTTGATGTAAATCTTAGATCAGCAAAAAGGCTTCTAAACGAAATAAACAACATGGAGCTCTTCACATACTGCATGTGATGACAGAATGATGCTGAAATTAGAAGTAACTTTGAAGAGACTGAAGAAATTCAGTGAAGAAACCCTGGAAAAAAGCACCCTTTGGGACACTTCTCTACTCTCATTATATAAAAGATCCAAATATAGCTAGTAAAATCTCATAAAACACTGCTTGCTAGAGTTTGCTGTCTCATTTTAAATTACCACTAGGACCTCAGAAGCATTTTAATCACTGGTAAGATAGGTCCTAGTACCTAAAATAAAATGCCTTAGCACCATAAATTAAGAAAATAATGTGATTTTTCTTCACTAACCTATCAAAGTAGAAATCTATTAATGTACTAATACAAATTGATTTTTGTGTTCCTGAAATAAACTCATTTTCTTACATGTTAATCACTAAAGTATTAAGAATATGAGTATCTGATATTTCCTTTTCATGTTTTTTATTCATCCAATTATTTTTTATTTACATTTAATCACTGTACATCTTTACAGCTTGAAGCATGAATTTTCCCAGCACTGGCATGCAGTGTATGTCAGTCAAGTCAAAGATATTACCATACACATCATCATCAACAAGTAACTTTCCAATCTTGTGTCTTATATTTTTCCTGAGCCTCTCTCTCTTTTATTCCACTCTGCCACCACTACCCACTCCCTCCCATGTAGTCTCTGGTATCTACACTTGCCCTCTCTGCTATTATACTTTCCACTATTTCAGTTTCTGCCAGAGTGTAGACACAGTATACTCTAAGCAGGTACATACAACGTCTTTCATAGTCTGGTTTGCTTTTCTTAGCATTAAATCTTCTATATTCATCCACTCTGTAACAGGTGAGAGGACCTCACATTTTTTTTTATGGCTGGATAATAGTCCATAGTGTATATGTGCCACATTTTTTCAATCCAGTCATCTGTTCTTGGGCATTTGGGTTGATTCCATGCCTTCACAATTAAGAATGCTGCTACAATAAATGGATGTGCAACTGTTTTTCAACTATTTTTCTCTATTTTGGGTACATACCTAGGAGTGGTATTACTGGGTCATATGGAATTTCTATTTGTAGTTTTTTTTTTTTTTTTGAGAGGTTTTTGCTATAGGGTGCGTGCGCTCGCCAGACAGACACAGAGAGACAGAGAGACAGAAAGCGAGAAATCATCCCCCCATGGGGGATGGCCATGCCGCAATCCCTTCTCCTCCATTCTCCTCTTGGGATCTTGGGCATGCACACACACGCACCCGGCGTGAGTTTTAAGTCACCGGGTCAGGGACGTAAACCGCGGTAGACTACGTGGGAGTCCAGCGACATAGCCATTATGCTAACTGCTGGTTCCCTATTTCCTATGTTTTGAGGGTCTTATTTGAAAAATCTTTGCCTACTCCTATGTCTTAGAGAGTTTCTCCTGTGTCTTCCATCAGTAGTTTTATAGCCTGAAATTTTATGTTTAGATTTTTGACCCATTTTAGTTGATTTTTGTTAATGGTGAGAAGAGTTTAGTTTCATTTTTCTGAAGGTAGATATTCAGTTATTCCAGCACCATTTGCTGAAGACACTTTCTTTTCCCTATTGGATATTTATGTCCTTTGTCAAAAATAAGTTGACTGTATGATTTGGGGGGTTATTTCTGTTCTCTATTCTGTTCCTTTGGTCTACATATATTAAAACATTTTTCTAAGGTTTTCTTTATGTTATCTTTCTGAATAGGATTATATTTGGGCTAGAAATTTTGCATATCTCCCTAATGTTTATATTCAGAACAGCATTAAAACCCACAACCCTTAAATCTCTCATACTTTCATTAACACAAAAAAAACTGCCTATATCTTCTATCTCTGTTCTCTTCCACCATTTTTATACTTTCTTTGGGGGTTATGTAATATAAGAATAGGGGCAATATAACATGAACTCTTGAGATGAGCTGAATCTTCTACCAGCAAATTTCCCATCCAGAGGAACTTGGAGACTAAGTCACTCTTTGAAGACAGAGATTGTGGTGTGAATGTACTCAGTGCTGTGCCTCCAGAATCTAGAACAGGGCCTGAGTTGTTCTTTTAATCAAGGAGTTAGACTGAGTTTATTTATAAATTCAAGCATGTTGTGTTTTTACATATCTTCATCATTTCTGAAAAAAATTATGCATACTTAAAGTGAAAAATAATACAATATATTCAATAAATGAAAATATAATCCAACAACAGAACTAAGTGCTATTACCAAGTTGATAAGCCTATCTCCAAACACATGTCTACTCATGTCTATACATACAGATAATGAGGTACATAATTTAATATTACTGGCCCTATTTTTCATAACCTGTTTTTTAAATTCCATATTATTTTTCAGGTACTTTCTATGGCAACAAATTTAGATAAATATCATCTTTTCAATAGATTAATAGAATTTGTGTACCATGCAATATAAAATTGCAGATAAATGCACAAATTACTGGCATTAGATGTAATTCACAGTAAAACTGTGAGCTAGAAAAAACTGGAAAAATATCCAATTAAACACAAAATGTCATTACATTTAATGATGGTTTTCACTTTTCATCTATATTATTCTTGTCAAAGGAGCATTTTAAAAAGAAAAAAGTTCCTTTCATTGTAGTATCGTAAAATTCATCCCTTATGCAGAATACCTAGGACAAGGAACCAGAAAGCTCAAAAGGCTCAAATTATAGTGATACATATAAATGGAAAGCAAAGGCACCTTGTAGTGATAAGTAAACAGGAACAAGAATGCTACCAGGTAGATTAGAGAGAATCAAAGTCTTCTTGATGATACACTTGATCATGACTTTGAACTTCTTTTTAAACAAATTTGGACACAAGCATATCAGGGGTTGACAACAAGGACATTAATAAAAGGATCAGAAGACACAAATAATGTTTCACCAAAGATAGTGAAGCACTGTGCATCTTGGCAAAACTCAAACTTGAAAGTGAAAAGATCTGGATTTAAATTCCAGTTCAACCTTGACTAAGTAATTCAGCCTCCATGAATGAACTATTCCTTCATTTTTCAAAGAAAACCATGTAAATTTTTCATGAGGACAATAAGTGATGTTATTTATAAAGTGTTAACACGATGTCTAACACCAAATCAATGTGCAATTGTGTGTAGGTGTATGCACATAAACATGCATGTGTGTGTAGTCACAGATACACAATATTTAGAAATATATTTCAGAGATGGCCCCATGGGCTGGTATATAAAGCAATTGGATCTCACATGGGGGACCATATGCCTTGAGTCTTAGTGCATTTCTTTTTTTTTTTCTTTTTATTTAATATCATTCTATATTTTAAATTTTTCTACAATGAACATATATTACTTTTATAATCAGGGAAGGAAAAGTAATATTGTATTTAATGCTGAAAATGTGTTAATATTTTCGCATTTCACAAAACATCTTTTGTTGACATTCTACAAATGATACCATCCAGTAATGTCCCAATCCTTTCCTCTTGTGAAGACAGTTTATATAGCTTTTTGACTTCTGTAACATTTGTTATTTTAGGAAGATCCTTCAGAGAAACCTGATGGCCATCCACTTGAGATATTAGGTATTCTGGATTTATTTGCTTTTCTCCCTCTTCAATGTAAACAATTAGAACTGAAGTGTCATTTGCTGAGATATTGTTATTTGGGGAATGGTTGAAAATAATTTCTGTAGACAGAGTTCTTGTCTTCATTTTTTCCAGTTTGTAGAGGTGAACGGCTTTGTTTGCTGCCACAAGTATCTGAAATGGGTCGACAACCACTGTAGGATTTATCAGTGAACCATTAATGGTGCCTTCCATGGCCTTTTTCCTCAAGTCTCCAGCATTTTTAACATCTTTAAATAACAGAAGGGTCACCGTGCATTCCAGAAATAAGTCCAGCTGATGTGTCAACTGCATTTTATAGATAAGCAGGATTCTACTTTCACTCAAATGCAACAGCCAATGCAGAGTCCTGAATTTTTAAAAATTACTTATTTATTTAATTCTGTTTGTTATTTTTTCAATAGGCCATTTCCCGGTCAGTCTTAGTGCATTTCTTAGCATATATATTAAGGGGTTGGACACGGGTGCCAAAATACAAACCTAAGGGCTTAGAAACACATGAGGCATATGTGCATGAATGCTTAAAATATCAAAAGGAGGGAGAAATGGAAGAGGAGAGATTGCAGCATGACCATTTCCCATGGGGATGCCTCCCTCCCTCCCTCCCTCTCTCTCTCTCTCTCTTTCTCTCTCTCGCAATCATACATGCCATGGAGTAAAGGTAGATCCATAGATAATAGATAAACTCATTTCAGAATTGCACAGTCAATTATATTTTACTATATAGGATCATGCTTATATTAGTCTTAGTGTAAACCTATGATTGATTTGATTCAGTCATTAATTGATTCAGTCATTCATATTCTTATTGCTGAATTCTCAATGTCCCAGGCTAGAGATTCCATTGTTATTATTAAAGAGAGAAATTAAGTACAGGCAAACCATCAGTAACTGTTGTGGTTAATATTCTGGTGTCAAGAGTTGGAAAACTAAGTTACTAATATGTCAATAAGGAGGTTCTGCTCATCACAGACACTAAGTAACTCAGGCTGAAGAAGTAACCCAGGTTATTAAGTAACCACACTTCAAATAAAGGTGAGGGAGAGAAAGGTGGTGCTTCCATGCTCTTCAGTTTAGAATAAATGATTTTGAAGACATTGAAGAGGCATATGGTGATTTTTCTTGGGTTAATAACTTAGGGCATTAAGATAAGAGACATAAAAATATGCAAATCAGGTGTATTCTGAATTTTTTATCATATCTCAGCTCTCATCATAACAATATATATTCCTATTGACAATGACTTAATTTCTTTCCC